ATATTTGTATAATGACGACGCCTCTGTCAGCGGACACACCGGAAAGCTGAGAAATAAGGATGGTTCTGAACAGGCTCACTTGGTAAAGTACCTGTCCGAGCATGATCGTGTTTGGCACTCCAGTCAAGTCGGAAAAAAGAAACCGCTCTTGTCTAAGCCTACCTCACAAAGCATCGTTCTAAGAAGGATCGTGTTTTCCTCGACCCCACCCCCTCTGGCAGCTGCGGCGCCTCTTTAGACCGTGCGATATGGAAGAGCATGGCCACCGGTTCACTGTACTCTGACCACGGCGGCTTTCCCATCAGCATCTCCATCACGGTGCACCCGACCGACCAGATATCCGCGGGACTGAGTGAGGAACGAGGCCATGTGTGAGTTGTCGAGAGTACACGTAGGCAGTGGTAGATCTGAGAGTGTGGACTCTGAAACACTAGTATTATACTATTTTTATGAACTAGCAATAAACCTGTTGTTTACGTCCAGATAGTTTTAGCTCAAGAAGTACTAACAAGAATATTATGTATAAGTGCCGAGAAAGTGGTGGTCACCTATCCATATAGAGTTTCACGCCGAATCCTACGCTCATATGAACAGCTTATAATAACCCCAAACTACGGCTGCAAGTGACTGTGGAACTTATACGAACTTATAATACTGAAACGACTCGCATTTTTACATAGCTCAAATGGCTTGGAATTTAGCGGGGTAGAATAATCGGACTACTGGTACAAGAGGCGCGTTGTGGCTGTGATGTGGTTCGCACGATGCCATGGGATCTGCTAAGGCAGTTGTAGTCCTAAGTGAACGTTGTTTTACACACTACAAAACAATGACATTGAACACTCCCAATATGACTGGAGATATAGGCCAGTGAAAGAGAGAATATCGCGTATCTAAGTGCAAGTGTTTTATCATAAATCTGCATCACTACTCAATATGAACAATTCAATCGATTTGTTCTAACGATAGGCAACTTGAGACAAAGGCAAGTCAAGGCAAGCCATGTATGGTGATAGCACGCCTTAGATTACATTATCCCCGAAATAGCTTAACCTGGTAGCAAGTGATTGCCAGTTGCATACAAGATGATACTTTGCCCTACCTGCCGTTCAACTGCTGTGTGTTCCTAACATCGCTCCACGTGATAACAAACGAGTGCGGCGTGTAAGTGCAAGGCGACAGTAACGTACCTGCCATACGGCTGTTGTCGTACAACCTCGGGCGCCATGAAGTTCGGGGTCCCTCGCAGTTCAGTACGTCCGCCGTTTTCCGTCTGCATGTGCTGAGCGGTGACCGAATTCCCAAAGTCTGCTAATTTTACCACTCTGAGAGCAAATGATCATTGGATATTCGCATCAGAGAGGTCGAAGTGATGCACAGCAGCAGGTAGCGTTGCATAGCATCGAGTGCAAAGCCACCAGGAAAGATAGATGAGACATTCGGATTACCCAACTTAGGACTTGTATTAGAGCGCTACAACCACCTAGCACTGCACATAATATCGCGACACTGCGGTATCGACTCTCACACAGTGACATTGGCACTTGCATTTGCACGTCATTGAGCGATACGCATTCACTTGGGCACACTCTAAAATGGTAGTTGCAGCTGAGTACGTGCGATCGACTGACACCGCCCCAATGTAGAGAGCCTGTACGCACGTGAACGTTCTGGAGCAAGGTTGCAGATGTGGAATGGACTCTCGGAAAATGCAATAGCTCAAGTCAACATATACGCAAAAGGAGTGCAATTCGGCTCACATACCCGTTCTTGTCAATCAAGACGTTTCCTCCTTTAATGTCCAGGTGGGCGATGCCATTGCGATGCAGATACGACAGACCGTACAACAGTTGTCGTGTGTATTGCGATGTCAACTATCCAACAAGAGGTCCGTGAAAGACAGGCAAGCGTGGGGCAGTGTGACAAGGAATGGGTGAGAGGTGTGCACCTCTACAGGCGCAAAATATACATATATACATGTAGAATATTTGGATAAGCCTGTCTGCCGTCCCCTACAAGTATGACTGTATATCCACCCAGCAACAATATGCACATCTGCACACAGAAAGTGTATATTGCACATCTGCACACAGAAAGTGTATATTACACATCTGCACTCTAAAAGCATAAACTACACATCTACACATATTCACAGATAATACGGACTACACGCTGAAAGTATATAATACACGTCTACACAATGAAAGACCATATACACCTACACACTGGAAGTATATACTATACACCTAAAATATTGAAAGTATATACTACACACCTACACAAGGGACGACCATACACACCTGCAGACTTAAAGTATATACTGCACGCCAAAACATTGAAAGTATATACTACACACCTACACAATGTAAGTATATAGTATACACCTACACATCGCAAGATCATACACACCTGCACGCTGAAAGGACCGAACTTCACAAGCATGTCAGCTACGGAACCACCCGAAACAAACTCAAGAAAGATATTAAGTATTTCGGTTTTGTGTATTTGAGCTCCCAGATACTTCACGATATGCCGATGATCCAGTTGGCTGAGCATTTGTATCTCCTTCTCCATGGTTCTGATGGCGTGCGCACTCTTCCCATGCATGTCAACCTGGGGTGATGGGCAGTGATAACCAATCAGAAAGACCATGCGACAAAACAGCAGATGTCTTTTAGATCGCCGCTTATTGGCATCTACATCCAGATGAGTAGTGAAAAGTTCAAAAGGTTGTATGCATCTTAGCCCTACTATCACGTGACGATATACTTTGCGCACTACTTCGCTTTGCTGAATAGATACAGTGGCGTCGTCGCACAGAATTTGCTCGTGAACCACCCACAGAACATCCCCCATTCGTTTGCCGATACAAAACTAGATAGCATACACACAAACGTATGCAGAGACGTTGTGCGCAGAAACGACCGTCAAGTGCTATGGGAGGACATCCACGAAAAGAAAAGGAAAGAATACTACTACCTACAAATACACATACATACATACATACATACAAACATACATCCATACATTCATACATTCATACATCAATGATCACCTATATATACATACATGCATACATACATGCATGCATACATACAGCGCGAGGAGATGATGCGCAGACGGGGATGATAAAAACCCCCATCACCGATTGATATACAACGTGACCAGGGGTTTTGCGTCAACAGCGCATACGCGCGTTCACTTTAGTGTGAGATACCAATGCGTGCACGGGGCCACCCACTGCCCATGTGCAAGTGACTGGGCACCAACCAATGTCTCGTATGTACGCCATATGCATTGCACGCCAAAGCCAAGGTCTTACCATCCGGGGATGGGTGGTAAAGGCATACCTGCTTTATCACTAAAAGCGATCCAGTGGTGGTGTCCAAGCCCTGGTACACTTTCCCGAATGCACCACTCCCGATCAGTTTGCCTCTGCGCACTGATCTGTTGTTGCCTAAGCCTATAGTATTCTCGTCGTCCTCAATTGCGCCATCGTCGTCCTCGCTCGAATCCTCGGAAACGCTGCAGGAAAACATCAAATAAATCTTGAACGGGTTATGCGCAAGTACGCATGTGTGTCATGCATGCTAAAGCGTATCGAGAAGGACGCAGAATGTACCGGGCCCAAACTGCCATTCTGCAAGAATGTACAGTGTAGAACCTTTACGGTTATACAAGGAACAAGATATGGTAAATTTCAGCGTTGCTGCTTATATGTATACAAGCCGGTGTTGTAAGTACTCATTCGTGCAGGGATACGCATGCGCGACACGCAGATTCGGAGAGCACTAACTACTGTATCTGTGAATAGGATCTGACATTTAAGTTTAAATGAACACAGACACGGAGACGCACTTACAACTGTAGCTGTGAATAAGATCTGGCATTTGAGTTTAAATGAACACAGACACTTGATGGAGCTCAGAGACAGCCTGCTCAGCCTCCAGCGTATACCGCATGCTTATTCTTCGTGAAGTGGATCGGAGCTAATTAACGCATACAGGCAGAACAAGGACATCGACTGTGCCCAGACACTACAGTACGGAAGTAGTGGCCCAGTTACATGTGCATGCATCACGGCTGCTGTAATGGCTATTACAAATACACAGACCCATCCCCTCGCCCCTCACCTGCACCCTCGTACCGAATGCGACTGCGAATATTAAACCACGAACTTCTGCTTATAGATAATCGTGTGCGAATCATAACTACACAGCAGATACGCACACACAAGTCGAACAGGCGTGGTCACTACAAATAAATAAGTCTCAACACTCCGTACGTGCGCCAGTAAGCCACTTACGTGATCTCTGTTCCGTCCTCGTCATGTGTTCTGACGATGTTATCGTAGACGCTGTCGTGTGGGTCTAAGCTGTGCTCCGCGTAGGCGTGTTGGTGACTCATTCCTCTAAAGTCGTCTCTCACGTTGCCAGCGCTGTTCCTGCTACTGTTACTAATGTTGTTATCTAAGTTGTTTGAAAATTGGTCATAACCACCACTATCACCACCCATGTATGTGTCTATTCCCCGACTGGCTTCGTCTCGATCGTTGAGCTCCATACCCTTGCTCAATCTTTCGTAAACGCTTTTCTCATAGTCACTAGCACTGCCTAAGTCCCTCATAATTTCCGTTAATTCGTACGGCTGGATAGGATCGTCCTCTTCGGCTGGTAACGCACATATCAGACTATCGGATCTCAAGAAATCCTCCTCATCCAGCGCACTCACCGCACTGGCATCGGACGCCATGTGCACATCTGCAAAGCTTTCCATCCAATCGTCCCCATCTCCCCCATCTCCATCCAAAACCCCCTCGACATCACTCACCACCGTCGACAGTGTCCTCAGAGCAACGTCTTTGTGTTCTTCATCGTGTGTTGCATCGTTCATGACAGGCGGTTGCGCAAGTTTCTCTATTACCGGCTCCTTTGACAGCGACAGACGATAGTACGCTGTGCGTGTGGTACAGTCCGACTGAGCGCGTTGTCGCGCTGGTGCTCTGCGGTATTCACCGGACCCGCCAAAATTTCGGACGTCTTGTCGTGGTGCAAACTCCAGTGGTAAAGTAGCCCTGGATGGTACAGAACTTCTAGAAGCCCTTGTCGTTGTTGGGGTGGTGAGAAGAGGCTGTTCTGTGCCGCCACGTGCCAGACTATGTGAATCCTGTGTGTCGGTCCCTCGACTCGTTGACAAATGGTCGAATGTGGATAAGTACCCAATACTATCTGCCTCTGGTATGCTCTGCTGAGTTGCCAGTTCCCGTCCAGTGGTTGGTAGAAATGTGCTCGTGTTCTGCCTCATCTCGGAGCGTACCAGCGGTGACCCATCGTACCCCGAACTCGAGCTATCGTCGTAGTCATAGTCGTCGTCATACCCGCCCTTCAGTGAAGTAAGTGCGAGCGTTCTCCCCAGCGTCTGCGCCCGTCCCAATGTTCGTGCCCGTGTCCTCCTCGGCCGTGAGTAGTGACTGCTCTCGGACAGCCCCCCGCCCGAGTCGCTATGCTGGGCACTGTAGGTACGCGCGCGGCTGTGACTACCTGATTCGCCTATCCCCACGCCGTTACCGTCACTGTCCTGTGCCGTACCTATACTCGTCCGTGTCCGTGGAGCCGTCGTAGACATGCGCCGGTTGCCCTTGTAAACATTTACTGCCACTTGTGCGAGTGGACTTGTGTGGCCGGCCCGCAAGTCCTGCTGGTGTGACAGGGCGTGTGAGCGTGTACTTGCGAGATTGCGTTGATTCGAGGGCTGGCTTTCAGTGCGGTGGTATAAGCTCCTTGAGGTGCACGGGGGACTGACGAAGCGAGAGAGTGACTCGTGGCTGCTGCTGTCGTCCTTGTCGGACAAGGAGAAAGAGTCTTGCAGCAGTGATGAACTCTTCACTTCTATAAGATCATGGTCAGAAAAGATGCGGGACTTAGCAATGTATGGAAAATAGATCAAATAAGGGCATCTGTGCAAGAAAGGTGCATACGTTTAGAAAGAAATAAAGAAATATGTGCAAAAGTTACAATCTTGATAGAGATCTGAACATCCGGGTAAAAAAGCCATGCGATTCTGGGACAATGATGTACCGAAGCCGCCTTGATAAATAGATATGCGAAATTAAATAAATATTAAACACGCACATATATATAAATAGTATATATATATATATATACATACATACATACATACG